CACCTCAATTAGTCCACCTCTGCTGGGGGGGGGGGGGGGGGGGGGGCCATCAAAGGGGGGAAAACCCTCCCCCATGACCCGGCCAAAAATTTCCTTTCCCGGGCCGGGGGCAAAGATTTACTTTTGGGAACCTCTCCAAAAAATGGGAAGGCGGGGAAATTTCCCCCATGCACCAATGCAGCGTGTGACACTGTAGATGTGCAGCTGGCAAAGATTTTAAGATAACCTCTTGGTGGAGTTTTATTTTCACGTGGATGTTCCACTAGAAAATAGATACATTAACAAACATTTGCCAGGATATGTGGAGTATATTGTATTACGGCTGCTGATAGCGCTTATTTAATTATAGAGTAAGCTGACGGTGCCATTTGATCCTGAAATGTCTCCTTTTGTCTGAACAAAAATAGCCTAACCCCAAAGTAATTACTTTATTAAGATATATGACAAAGATAAAGTTCCCACGCAAATTTGTACCATTTTCTCATTGATTTTTTTCTCGCTGAATTAAATAAAAAAATCGAAATGATTTCTTTTCTGTGATTTAACTTCCCAGTTAAATCGAACGAATGTTTCAGCTCAACGTTCTGCGGTTTCTTTTGGGAGCTGTTACTACATCTAACATAACCAGCTTTTTAATTCTGAACTCCCTCCTTTTCCTCCATCTAAGCACCACAGCACCTATAAACCTCTCACACGCAGCAATCCACTCACGATTAATGAAGTGCTTACTTAACCAATTTAAACCCCTAATTCCTATTAATTCAACATAATAGCCACCCTCTCCGCCAGAATTAACAACACTCTAGCAGAGACTTACAAATCTCTGCAGGCCAGAAAGAGTCAACCTTGCAAATCCCATATTCGTTGATAAATATGTAACAGTATGTATATCACTGTTGAAATGCATAACCCCCGTGTAAGACCCCTATCAGGTCTGCTTTACACCTGTATTACATTTCTCCCTCTATCAGCAGCTTTTCTGAGACACCGGCCTCCCACGAGGAGCAGAAACTATTACAAGGGGCTGCAGCTCATTTGCAGAAAGATTGGAGATCACGCTGCATCAAAAAGTATGTGAAGCATTTCCCAGAACAAAATTGATTTATTCCATTTCTATGTTTGTATGCAGCATCTGTAACACTGTATTTAATGTGGATCCCCAGTCTGCCGCGGAGTTGTTGTGTAGGCGGCTCCCTATTACAAGCAGGGCAAATCAAACAACGCAAGGGGCCTGCTCTCGTGCCACATTTAGGCATGCGGTATTTTATATTTTATCTTGAAGTATACTAAAACATACATTCAGTACAACAAATCATATCAATCAAAGAAAAGCACGCACAATGGCCTTTTCATGATTCACCGATGCCGCTTGTTTAAGCTACAAAGACATTAGGCTATTCTTTAGTGAAATATAAAAGGCATAAGCAAATAAATAAATATTCCAGAGTGTTTCAATTTTGACTTAGGAAAAACAGATCAAGCAAAGCCCGTGGCTAGAGGAGCCTGACTGCATGCTGGTGGGGGGTAAAAGACAGCCTGGGGGATGTGGAAGGCGTCTGTTTTTTAATGAGCTGAAACTTTAAATACTGCATAATATATAATAAAAATGAATAGTTCATTTAACTCTCCCGATAAGTCGTGGAACAACTATTAAAATCCATTACTCTCTTAATGTCAACAGAGTAAGCAGTGAGTATGAATGAAGGGAACATGAAGCCACACCATCAGCGAGAAATTAAAAACATAATAATCAACTTGAAGTGGAAGAAAAATGGATTTGGGCGTGAAGTTGTGCACGAGCTCAAGGGCATCGACTAAACACAGAAAGAGAAGAGAGGACCGTGATTTATATACATTGGGATCCACTCTGAGAGTGTGACATTAGCATGCTTATCATGATTTAAATGGGAAGTAGAACATGAGCGACGTTGAAAAGATTCTTTGTATTTACTGCAACTTGGTCGTGAGGTTTCAGCAACAAACAAAAAACTAAAAAACAGAATAGATAACTGACAGACTTTTCAGCCACCCACTGACAGTAGCTTTGGCAACGCTGATTGGCACAGCAGGCACAGCGGTGCCATACTTGCCCCAACACGTACATATATACACACACACACACACACACACACACACGTGTCTACAAAATGTCACAAAGATAAAGACGAGAGGGGGCTGTAAAGAAAAGAAACGCGATGCCCCTCGACATCCCTTGGGTGAAGAAATCCACCATAATAGATTTTTAATAGCTTCAGTGCGCTCGCACTGATCCAAAAGAAGGAAAAAGTAGTGATTCAACAACAAAACCTCAAAAATGATTAACCAATGAAAACACTATTTTGGCAATAACAACTCAGAACGTAGAGGTCTCTCACTCGGCTTAAATATGACTCTTTCAAAGCTGATCAAATTGTGCACATTTGCCACGGCGGAGTCTTCTTGTAGAAAAGTAATGAGCTTTATGTTCCCGTTGTCACATTGTAATTCAAAAAGTGCCATTTGGCTGTGAATATTGTGACAATGTTGGCTGACGCGGCTGCATTAAGATGTAATTCCAAGTGGTCCTTAAAGTGAACTGAGTGATGGCTCGATGCTGGCGGCCCATCCAGAGGCTTAATAATGATAACCTCGCCAATATTAGCCGCGGGGGTTTGTTCACACAATAATTGTTTCTGCCAAGCCACATATCTATATGACAGGAATAGAAGTGCTGTGACTCGGCTGCCAAACAGATGATTTAAGAATCGGCTGCATCAACTATACGAAGGAGACGAACGCGGTTTGTGCCGTTCATTTCATTTTTGCTCTGAAGCAACAGAAAATGTATTAGCTAATTAGAAGATAATTACACCTCTCTGTAAGCTGATTAGCAATTTCACTGTTGAACATTAACAATTTACAGCAACACTACACTCAATTTCAGCTCTTGTTTTGCTTTACTTACCTAAATTATAAACAGCACAAGTATTTAAAGATTTCACCTTGACAAAACTTATTACCAGCTTTCGCATGCAATTAAACTTGACAAACAGGCATCCGCTGTTTGTTCATTACCAGATTAGATGTGCGTTAGTAATTTAGACCCTTCAATACGGGACCAGGCGGCCGTGGCTATTAAAAGGTATCAATCTCACACCAAATGCTGATATATTTTGTTAATTTACAGCAGCTCATTTGAACTCCAGATACCCTAAACCGCGCTCGTGTTGACTGAGGTTGGATGTGTAACGCTGAGCCTCTGTCGCCGCTGACGGAGTGCCCTCCCCGGTAGTTTAGAGTGACTCAAAAGGTGAAGCCCTGAAAACAAATACAATGTTCTCACATGCTCCCCAGTTTAGATTTCACTCACTCACATCATCCTGTGAAAGCGGCACACAAAGCAGCAGTCGGTCCGACCCCACGCGCTCGTGTCCGGCCGTGCGCTGCTATCAATGCGGTCTGTGGGTCAAAGGGTCAATGAGTAATTAAGACACGGTTCCCTGAGCATTCCACATGCACATTTTCAGTCCTGATGAGAGGTTGGAAATAAAAGGAGGGGATTTAAGTGCAGCCCGATACTACGGATCAGATTCCCATAAGTGTGTCTAAATGTTCCATGTTTAAGGCAATTAGTATGATTAAGAGATAGTGTGGTGTCACCCTGCTGTTTAAGGGGATTTTGCACATGAATTCCACATGAGGGTTGGATTTACACTGCTGAGTGAAACATGAAATAATGTTCATCCAGGGACCTTGAATGTTTGATATCTAATGGCGCGTTTCCACCGAGCGGTACGGCTCGGGTCGGTACGGGTCGGGTCTGTTAACCATGATTTGGCGAGCGTTTCCACCGCCAACAGTACCCTTACTTTACTTGATAAGCGCGGTGTATTCCAGAAAGTAGTGATGACGTCACTTGATAGGCGTGGTACATGACGGAAAGTAGATTGACGTCATTCGATCGCGTGACAACTGAAAGCTAACCGCAAACAACAACGGAGGACAGACAGCCGATGCTGTTCTTGCTTCTCCATATGTGGCTGTTTGTCACAAGGAGACGGCAATCTTTGTTTGAGCAAAGGCTGCACGCTGCAAGGAAAAACACAGCGCGAATGACGACACTCTTTCAACCAATCAACGCTCTGCAGTGAGTCTAGCTCCGCCCTTTAGTACCAAACAACTGTGCCAGGTTCCCCAACGGAAGGGTACCCAAAAAGTGGTACGGTACGGTTCGGATTTTTGGTACCATTCTCAACTTTTGGCAGTGGAGACACAAATAAAAGGGTACCGACCCGACCCGTATCGTACCGCTCGGTGGAAACGCGCCATTATTCACTTGTTAGTCCAAGTGGTTTTCTTCCTTTTTGGGGGAAAAGAGGTTGCGCAGCGATAGTAGTGTTGGCTAGGAGGAACCAACAAAACCACAAGAGACATTCAAAAAAGAAAAGAAAGATTGGATTAAATCAATCTGCGAATGCTCTTGCATAAGACAACAAGTTTTAGAAAACAGGATACCCGAGGACAGGCAGGAGGATAGCAGGAGGCCGATATCGCAGCCTTCAAAAGAAGGTCGCAAGGTGCATTGATTTACATGTAAAACCAGAAACGATTCGTTCGGTTTCATTGTTGCTCAAAATGGAGAGGACATGGAAAGAAAATTGAGGTCCTTGATAAATGCTATTAGTAGGAGATGCTTGGGAGTGAAGAAATCAATATGGTAGTTTGTCAACCTTCCTCTCAGAGGGAGCGCGACTCTGCAGCAAAAGTAAGTGTGCGCTGTCAGCAAAGCACATTACCAGAAATCAAAGGCCAGTGACGGCCCAGAGGGAGGAGTGTGCACGCCTCTGTACAAAGGCCACACTTTGGTAATTAAAACCTATTTTATCAGACCTGTCTCGTCACTGGTTTTACTCCACCACTATCGACGATCTGTTGCATGCAGAGTGATTACTAATTTACCTTTAAATAAATGAGCCAGGGTTATTTAAATCCTGTTACACAAAATGAGGCGAAAGACATGATGGAGTAAAATAAACAATTCCGCTTAATATATTTAATGTAGAAAATTATTATGGACAAAAATGAATATTTTTTTAAGAGTCTTCAGAAGCTTTCTGAACCTTATGAGCCAGACGGGTGTTTAAAGGCAAATCATCGCAGTCATGTATGTACTTTCACAATGCTTTTACTCTGAAGACATGTGCACTGGAGACAGATACAACGTTCATTAACATCGTTTTACGAAACATCCAGGAAAAGTCTTTCTTTTTTAGTGGATTGTCCTTAACTTTCCATCAAATGTTAAAAGTTTGCTCTCCGAATACAACACCGCGAGTATTGTGTGTCAGTGTAACGACGCGCATCACTGACTCAACTGAAACTCCTAAATCTTAAATAATGAAACACAAACACTCGTGTGCAGTCAGACAATGAGAGCACATCTTAGTCAGTGAGTATGTCCACCAGAACAGTTGAACTGTTTTGCAAAAACTGCATATTGCAAATACACTAAAAATACTTGTATTCGTGGTTCAGTACTGTGCGCCTTCGTCTTCTTTGTAGGCAAAATAGACTGTGACGGGTCCAACGCTCGTCTGCACCGTTTCTGCAGCTCCCGCCACCATCCAGCAGCCGAGGCCGTAGGCCAGACAAGGGATGCCTGCAGCAAGCGGACACAGGGATTATGTGCTAGTGTAAGAAATACAACATACGGAATGTATTTTAGAGAAATGAGAGAGTGCTTTAAATATACAATCACTGACCCAGATTAATAACTTTCAAAATGGTGAAAAATGTGTCCTCAAAGTGCAGGTTGTGTGGAGGAGCCTTGGAGCAGTGGTATTTTATAAAGGGGAAACAGCCGGTTCTCAGTATCTGGTAGTTGGACCCCTGGACTCTCCAGTTAAAGTTGGACAGTCCGAACTGGTCATTGTGAACGGAGCTGTAGCGGACACAGAACGAAGTCCACGGCGGGAGTTTGCGCTGCAGCAGGTGGCAGGTCAGCACCTCCGAGGCCGCTGGCCGAGGGCCCGTGTGGCCGAACGAGCTCGGGAAGAGGGCGATCTTTAGAAAGAGGCCGTGGATCTTCCTCAAAAAGCCCTTCATGACTTCGCGTGACACGTAGGAGGGATTCGTCCTTTCCTGCCGTTGCTTTTCAGCTGGACTGAGCGCAAATTACTCGCACGCGGAGCTCTGGTTAGCCGCCATGGATGACATCAACAGACGATTTACTACAGCTGCATGTGCGGTTCTGTTAAAGCAGCGGGACGCTAAAGTTAGCAAACCAGACCGTCCGTGTTCGTATGCTAAATGACGGGCTCTCTGCTGAATATATCCCGCTACACGTCCGGAAGCACATGCTAAACACACACACACACACACACACACACACACGAGTAGCAAAGGGACCTTTCAAAAGAGCTTCTGTTTTAAGAGCTGTTGTGTTGTAAAGGCTTGTTCGCTCTGACCTGGTGCTCCTGCTAGATTCCTCCGGTAAGAAACGCGGAGAGGTGCTGTGGTTCCTCTTCAACGGAGTTAGCAACTACAACCTGCATTTCATTTCCTGCACTTCACTCACACTAAGCAGGCCGATGCTGCAAAATAAGCAGACATTCAATTTAGCTTCTATAGTTTAGTCATTTAGAAATTATTCCGGAGTTATTTAAATATGTAATGAATGAATTGTTACCCTTCATTCTATGTTCTTATTGGCATTCTGTCTTCTTTTTATGTTTACCATATTTATTAAAAATTAGTATGACACATTATTTTATCAGCTACTATAACCAAATAAACATGTTGCATTAAGTGCAAACTACATCCACTGAGAGGCACTGAAGGGATTTAGTGGTCTGCCGTAGAGCAGCACCATGGACAGCGGCCCATAAAACAATCTCTCCATGTCAGCCAGAATGAATACTGGGCCACACAAAACAACGCCTGCATACACACAAAAATACACAAATTATTAATGTTGACGTGCAATGATGCATACATATTGTATAAAAGTACGTATTCGCATTAGTGGCTAATTCCCTTGTTAAATGTGAACCATAGGTCAGAAAACACAAATAACAAAATAATGAATAATTCTATTTATTATTTTTATATATTTAGCCTGCTAACACTGGCAGGCTAGCATATCTTCTTTTTTATCGACGGCAAAATATTTTTGATGACGAAGTATTCAACTTTATTTATCTGAGACACATTAGTCAATATGATAAAAAAGAAAAACGACAACATATTACACATTGGGATCCAACAGAATTGGTGCTTTTGTAATCAAGTTACAGCCAGAACAATATTTGCATAAACAAACCAAAGTAGTGTGTGGAGACCAGTTCACAGATTAAATGAATTTAACATCTCACAAAACAATAACACTAAATAATATACTCAACATACTAATCTATGCCACCTATAAATAAAATAATATGCAACCCAGCAACACTACTATATTCCTTAGATGACACACTAGTAAAAGCATAATTGATCTGCAATTTCCAACACAAAATGTGACTTTAACCATATTCAAGCAGCTAAAAGGTTCACCACAGATTTTGTGTCAGAATGTTTTTTCAGCAATTCTTTCAGCTCTATGTTTGATCAACATGAATTCATCTGTGAGGTTTACACATTCACATTGTAATTCCACATTGAAGATGCCAAATATGTGATAGCTCAACTCTGTAAGGCAAGTTTATTACTGAAGCAGCTGTCTTAAGCAGCAGGTTCATCTTCCACAGCTCGCATTCTGTTCCTAACAGTCATCTGCACTACGTCTTCTATGTTCTTGATCAGCTCCTCCAAGAAAAAAACAAAAGATAAAACAAGTTAACTTACTACTTATTACTATCTCACACCACAACAATCTTTCATTTCAGCAAAATCAGTCAAGCTCACCAGAAGTGATTTGAAGACGCAAGTTGCGTGATATAGATGAGGAGCGATCGTTAAGTCATTAACACGGTACCTTAAAATTGGTTTCTCCTTGCATTTTAGACGGCGATATTTCCTGATGAATGACTGACAGATTCCGAGCAAAGGTCACCAGAGCTCCCTGGAGATCTTCAGAGACTGTTCTATCAACGACACCCCAAACAAACGAGATCACCAACACGTTGCCAGCGAAGAAACAATCACCGTGTTCATCTAATGGTGGCGGTTAAATGAAACTCTCAGCAGAAGACTTCTTCCCTCTTTAGGGGGATGAGCGCCGCTGGATTTAACTGTTATAGCTAAAGAATGATAAATATCTTAAAGAAATCTCTGCTTAACAGTTTGACATGTTGAGTTTGAAATGTTTACCAAGTTAAAGGTATCACCTTAATATTTATAATAGTATCTCATTCACTTCATCCATTACTGTTCTTTTATGTGTTTTTGAACACAAGGATGAAACTAACTTAAACACGCTCAGAATATCTTCTCCTGACGACCAGAGCTGTGCGTGGCTTTGATGCGATGCAGAATACTCACATCATACCGATGGTGCAGCGCTCACTGCTGTCGTAAATAGCAAAGACTGTTCCATGCTTCCCCTGCAGATTGACAAACACAAACACAGTGAATAGAAGAGCTCCATCATCACATTGTGTCGATTAAAAGAGCACTGCAGCGATTCAACATTGCACTGATACAGTTTACTAAAGTAATCCTCTTTTACATTGCATACATTCTTCTTTATTTTTTAAAACATTTTATTATTCACCCCTAATGCAACTTGACTGTCGGTTCAGTGTGTTATGCTATAAGTATACCAGATAAAGAGGTTTTCTTTCTAACGGCACATGTCCATATATTTCTTTTCATTTTCAACATGTAATCTTTACGCCTCCTCAATATTTTCTCAAGTGGCTTTAAACGTGGCAAGTATTCAGACATTGTACAGCTCCATCTGTTCCCAGTTGACGTCCCAAACAAACTTTGAGGTGTAGAATTGTCGGAGATAGCCTTTAAATCAACCAAACATTGAAATACTCTAAGTTGACAAAATGTAAGGACAATATAGAGATTTTTACCTGGTTGTTAAATCCTATGCCGTGACTGTTGCACACCATGAGGAACACATCATGGTACAACATGGAGAGGTTAGAGTGAAACAAGTGGCTCCCAATAACTGCATAACGATTAACCACAGAAGGCTGTAAAAACAAAGGAAAGAAAAAATTAAGAAAGAGACAAAAAAATGAAGTAGGATTGTTTCCATTAGTCATCCTGAATCTGAAAAGACAAAATGATAGTGTGTATTTACACTTGGATTTTGAGTGTAATTGGTGTTTAAAAGGGGGGAAGTGGAGATGGCTGAACCCCATACACATGTCCTTAGGGTCACTGTTGAGGTGGGGGGGGGGGGGGGGGGGGGGTGATTAGTAAACATGATGAGTGTGGGGAACATGTGGTGGTAAACTGTTGGGCCTTTCTTAATTAACTGCTGGGAGGAAGAAGACATGCCAAATACAAGATGAGCTTAATTGTGTGATGCCAATCAAAGAAACCATAGTTTCAGGACTGCAAAGGTTTGCATTCAAAAATTGAGACAAAAGCACCACCAAATGCACAATAGGACTATTCAACGCACAATACATATCGCCATAATGGAGGAGTTCTGAGCATGTGAGCGCCATAAGTAACACTAGAGAGGTTGATTACTTAAAAGTGGCAGGGCTCAAGAGGATAAAAATGTTCCTGCTTCTCAAGCACCTCCGGGAGACAAAAAGAGCAGGCCTAAGCCCCTGCGAGCTCAGGAGATAGCCCATAATTCACTGTGATGGGTGTGTGCTTGCGGTTGTCAAACATAGGACCCTCACACAACAATAAAAGAGTCCAACAGGGATTTAATTGTGTTTGTAATATGCATGCCCCTAATGATGGCCACTGGTAAAGCCATTAACCACTGCGGTGGCTCAACTGCTGCACTGAACCACCAGGCTACCGACTAAATGAATGTTTGATAAAATAATACAAGACGCGGATTAACAAGCGTAAACTCGGGCATACTGCTAATAAAAGGACTCCATTGTTTAAGCCCTGGCACCAGGTTGATGAGGTGTTCAAGCATGCATACACATGCATAACGAAAATGTTATGAATTATTAATGTGTTGATTATTTAGGCTCATCTATCAAAATGATAATGAATTCAGCACCTAAAGACCAATTGAGCTCAGTGCGTAATTACATTATTTAGTTGTATTTAACAAAAATGAAGAGCAAACCACTGATCTATCTTCGCAATTACTGTAGTGGTACGATAATATCCTCTTAAGTCTCAGCCTGCTGTAGAACTAGTGGTTTGTTTCTTGTTGAGGACACTGTAAAAGTATACAACTTTAAATATGTCGCATTTAAAATGGGCCCTTTCCCGTTTTAGAAAAAATGACACATTATCAAAAAGGTCGTTATAAGGAAATATCAAACGGTACTTTGGCTGCATGCTGAGGTTTGCTGCATTTTCCTTCGATTGGCATTGGCACTTCTAAACAGCCTGTGCTGCAGTTCAACGTTCCTCCAGTCATCATCAGAAGCATCTGGGTCATGGCCAGCTGGTCACTGTATGCAAGGTCCAGATCAATAGCCCACACCTGCAAACACAACACCATCAACCATGTGTCCAGCAGAGGGAAACTGGAAGCTGTTTCACCTGCTAGTCCTTATAAAACGAGTGGTTAGTAACTTTAAATCCTTACAGCATGTTGCGAAGCAGGGGAAAGGAAAACACGCTTAATGCTGTGTGCTCGACAGATGTAGGTAATACAGAGATCCTCCCCTGCGTGTTTGTGCTCAGTCTGCCTCGCGGTAGTTTGTTTGGCGCAGGTCTGATGAGAGGCTAAGTTAGATGTGTATGGTAAATGGCATCATTATAAGTATATTAAGGGGTCAGGTATGGTCGTAGCCTTCTGCTTAAACCGGGCTAATTTTCCCAATAATAACCTAATAGCTATGCCCTTTCCTCAAAAGTGGCAAATAAATCACCAGTGAAGGACTTGTTAATAACTAAGTGGCAGTCGACTGCCTCCCTTTGCTGTTCCTATTTGTCAAAGTAAACGTCCTGCCACTGAATGCAAATCGCTGCCTGTCGGAACCCGGCAGTTTCTGGAACCTGAGCATTTCATCTCCACTAGCACATTGATATCTTTGCATGTGCACTGATTCTTTTCTACGCTATTTTACATGTTTTATTAAATTCAAATACATTGTAAATCATAATTTATGGTCCCAGGCTGCAAATACCATTTATTTTTTTAACATTGATTAATCTCCAATTAGTCTCTCCATTAACCCTTTTTTGATGAAAAAAACACATTTTCAAAGGTTTCAATTTCTTACAGTGTTTTGATTATATGCAGGTTTACAATAACATAAGACAAAGGGAAGCTGCAAATCAACCAGAGAAATTTGCCATATTTATTTGTAAAATAATGAATCAATTATTCTGATTGTTGCTCTTTTATAATTGATAAAGCAATAGCAAATTTCAGGTTGGTAACTATAAATATAGTATGTATATATATATATATATATATTATGTGAATTGTAAGAAACATTTCCAATGAATAATTTGAATAATTACTCTAAATATAAAAAATACATTTAAATATTATAGTGACACATGGTTGCGACAGTATACATCTAAACACGTGAAATGTATTTAGTTCATGTTTTTCAAAAGTTCAGCAGTATTCTGTGCACTCAGCGTCCGTTAGCTACCACTGGACAGACACAAGCCTCGATGCATCGGGTTGATACCTGGGCCTGAGTGACGGACACACTCCACTGCGCCACTCATTCGACTCACTAAAAATCGTACTCAAATGTCTCATTGTCACTCCTAACAAAGCCGTGGGAAATGTAAGCCTGGATTGTACCTGTTTTCTATTGCCTTGCATTTTCATTAAAACCCTGATGCTGCAGCTGGGGCCCCACCGTCCCACAATGTGAGGAAAGGCTGCAAGGGCAAACATATGTGACCCACTTCTTCCCATCAAATAAAGTAGGCAGCCTTTAGCAACAGGTTTGAATCTAAATTGATGTTTAAATCTAGACAGGTTTGCCCATGTGGCTCTCCTCTGTCTGCTCCGTGTGCGGGAGATGGTTAAGAATCTGTCTTTAATGTTCCTTCCTCTATTGAAGCTGTTTATAGTCTGTTCTTAATTATTCTGTCAGTGAATCCATTTCAATTTTGTGTCAACATTGAAACTGAAAATTGATTTTAAGGCTGTCATTATATCGCGTAAAAAAGAAAAAGCAGGTGCAGTTGGTATGGTATGATTTCTGATTTTACCCTGACTTAAATTACAAATTAAGGATCGAATGAAATCCTAAAATGTAAGAAATACTGTATATATTATATATATTTTTTAGATTTGAATTATTACAATGTAATAAAATCTACCCTCCAGGAAAGAGAAACCCGTATTTTAAGTCTAAAAGAATCAATAATACAAATAATTATTTATATTGTTCTACATATAGATTGCATTGTCTGAACCCTGCTTTGCTCACACTGCGTCTAATCCATAAGAGACTACCCTCTAGTGGTAAGCGTGCCCTCCAGATCCATGTTTTATACTGAGAATAGATTAGCAATGCAAATACAAATAAAGCTTCAATAGTAAACACAACAAATAGAAGATATTTCCAGAATGTGCTGGAGAGGAAGATGCATTACTAACCGATGTATTTTTAATAATAGAAAAAAAACACATTCTTTTTTATACCCTTTTGTAAAACTGTATAGTAGCTGTAATGCTTTCTATAAAAAAAAGTTTATTATTATATAGACCGTATTATAAACAAAGCATTTAATTTTACAGCTCTGGATCAATAAGCAGTCAATGTAGCCACATGTTAGGAGCAAAGGTTAAACCATCATAAACCAGCCCATTTCCAATATCATAAATCAAAAAGGTTTCAGCAAAACCTAATCTTGACAAATGAGATAAAGCTTGGATGGCGCCTCGCTATAATAACGAGACACATTTCAGCAGCCCACTGCAGGTATGAAGCTATGTGTTAAACACTGACAGGGCATCCCCGTGAAGCTGCCAAATCACTTTAGAATGACCTATTGTCTGAAAAATAGGTACCTCGGAATTTCCCGGCACGGCGAGGCTAAAGGGCAAGCCTTAAATGGTGGACTCAGTGCATCGACACAATAAGACCTGACACTTTATTAGGCGGCCTCGTGACACATTTGGTCTCCATACCCACTGTTTGCCTCGCCTGTTTCCCAAATCCCGGGGGAGCAGTAGAGGAGACACCTATCCGCTCTTATGGATCCCTGACCCGGCTTTAAAAAGTATTTCTTACACTAAAACGGGTAAATAGAAAGCCTGGACGCTGCATGCTGCAAACACCCCAAACCATATTTATTGTAGTAGCGTGAGCTTACCTTTTGCTCCCCGGTGTTGCGGTTCAAAAAGGTAGCCAGGTCCACGGAGACGTAACCCACGATAAGGCGCTGTAAACAGGCCCGGCCAACACGCATGCTGATGGATTGCAAGGTCTCTGGGTTCACAGAGGTCTGAGGAACAGTGGAGCCTATAGCTTCCAGTTGACAGGAGCCCTGAAGCTGGTCTCCACAGGAGAGCATGGTCACCTCACCCCCGGGGTCTAGCAGCAGATCCACGGTGAGGCAGCTGACCAATTCTGAAGGGGGGTAGGCCTCCACCACACCGCCTGGGCACACAGTGAGAGCAGAGGAATGGCTGCAGTACAGACAACAAACAGCATCTGAACCTCTGTGTTTAATAACCAACAAAAGCAAGATGAAAAGTATCAAACCTGACGGGCCACATATGGGAACTGGGGAGGACATGGGAAATAAAAACCTTCAGATTCTGATCATTGGTATCTGACCTTGTTTGAGGAAGGTCTTCAGGAAGCAGGCCCAGTTGCGGTAGCAGGAGGTTTTAGCAGGCCGGGCGTGACGAGCAAGCCACCCTGGGACTTCATTTAAATACCTGAGATGTACGGACTCCTGCAGAAAGAGAGTTAATGTGCACGCATTAGGGAGCTGCTGAACATGAGTCGGTGACACATCTGACATTATGTTTCGTCAAACACCCGTCACTCACAAATCCTCGCTACTTCATTTGTCCCATTATCAAAGCTTTCTGGGTCCCGTCTACATTATTGGAAATGCCCTCGTGTTATCCGGATGGCTCCTGTGACGGCTTGTTATCCTCGAGACCTTTGGTGGCTGCTTCGATTTCTGTGCGAGTGTGTGATGGATAGTGCGGGGAATGAGTGACAGCCTATTATCAGAAGGCCTCAGGAGTCTAATGGCTTTAACTCACGGCCACAGAGACAGCACCTGCCCTCAATAACACCTCTCTTCACTGGGCAGCTGATGAATGCCTAAGCTAACCCCCTCTATCTGGGGCTCAATCAGGGCTTGACTCGGATCGATATCACTCTTGTTTCTGTAACTGGGAAATGCCGTAATGGTTTCACCACTTAATTATGCCGTTAATTATCTAACTTTTGTTTTAGGTGTCTATTGAACAGTTTGGCAACTCAAGTACACCGTTTCCTCTGACAACGCTGTGATAAAAGGAACAACAACTCTATTGCACGCCGCAAATGTATTCTGTTTTAAAACCGATAAATTGAATGCTATGTGTGGACTGCATGACAAGTACAACTGCTGAGTCTTATTTTAAGTACAGGGTTCTGTATGTAATAATGTCTGCATATGACCATTAGACAGGAATTTAATTCGGTCATACACAATAAAACACGTGAAACCTCCCTGAAAGAAAACTCAAGTCTGAATGGAAAATAATGTCTTTGCTGTTTCGTCGTTCCACTCAGAGAGTTACTTTGCTTTTGCGTGCACGCTGTCGGCTTCGCTGGAGACAGGACTGGAGATTACGCTGTTGATATTCCAGTCATGTAACAGCCATCATCATATTCAAGTACTGTAAGAGGCGAGGTCAAACGCTACTCAGTGATTCCCCCTATACAAGCCATAAAGCACACAATGGTGCGGCAAAAAGTGTAAGGCAACGGTTGTCATTTTCAACGGAAGAGCAAGCTCACCCCAGGACTTTGCCTATGCAGTTCAAAGACACAGCAGGACAGGGCAAAAAAAGAAAGAGAGGTATTTTGCAATAAATTATTTGGACTTAAACTGCGTACAGTGCCCTGTGATAGGATTCAGGCTTTGCTTGGTGTCCACATAAAGCCAAGCAATCTGGTCATAAATAAAATAGACGTTAACCTGCCTCTTTGATTGCTATTTCATCTCTCCATTACACAGCGAAACCACTGAAAAGCTACAGTACGTCTCTGGAATAAAGGGACACAACGTGACTAGTGACGCGTTTTGAAGGAATATTTATTTCCCGTAGTATCGTCCTACATAAGCTGCAACCTCAATTTACTAAAACCCACCAATGATTTCATTTGGAACAAGCAACATAAGTTACAGTCTCCTTGTCTCTGGTCTAGTGGCCAAAGCAACGCACCAAAGACACTACGAACTTCAATGCAGTCAAGGAAAAGAACCAATCAAAGACTTGGACACTTGTTTGGATCAAACAGGGGCCGAAGGAAATGTTTTAACATCTCATTAACGCAAATTCCGGTTGATTAAATAAAGGCTGAACATCATATATTTTTAAACTCCTCCATGCAATCGCGGACTGCACACTATTTAGACAGAAAACATCTGTACAAAAATGCGCCTGTACCTCTTCAGTGGTAGTGATTATCAAATGACCCATTTTGTTGACAAACTTTACCTAAATAAGGTGTTGCTCAAGATCAGCTTGTACCCGGCGTGGCAAAAAGAAATGCTCCATCTGTTGACGCTATTAGGTGTAATTTTCACCCTCTTGTGCCTAATGATCCATGTGCAAGCTGTGTGAGCGCTTAAAAGTGTGTGTGGCCCCCTTCAGGCGTTGCACGGGTGAGGATCTACATGTCTTTAACCTCTCTCTGTGTAAATGCTAAAAGAGGCCCGGGGGCTTTCTGAAGGCAGAGTGATTGTGCTGGAGGCGGAGGGCCTCGCAGTATTCAGAGAAACACGCCATCTAGTAGACTTCTGTGCATGCAAAAGCCTCCTCCTTCTTGATGTGGTACCCTTTCATCCTTTCTCTTACATAGCCAGAAGGGATGTGATTGTTGGTATTATTCTGAAAGACCACATGGCATTCTTGTGAGTCAGACTTCTTCATGCTGAGCCCTTCACAACGAGCAATAATTACAAAAGTATGCACACAGTCTGCGCAGACTGAGGCTAAGTCTGATCTAACCCTTCCGGGGATTATAAAGGTTACGGCACGTTCCACGGAACTGTAAAACACGTTTGTGTAATCAATCATCACTTGTTTGGTATTTTTGGTAAACAATTATATTGGCGATAGCCTTGGTAATTTTGAATTAATATTTAAAATGATTCATTTGATAATTTGTTTTGCATCAATAATTAATTTAATAGCTAATATTATCACGAACATAGCTTCAAACATGTATTGCTTAAATGCTTGCAAGTATTCAGTATGTATCCCGTTCACTGGCCGTCACCGCTATTGCAATTAGGTCCAGCTCTTTTCGGTAAAGGAGTAAGTTAATGAGTGTTATACCTCAAAGTATACGGCCATGTTTAAAACAGCATCCATTCAGGTTCTGCTGTGAGGAGAGGCGATGAGATACACTGGTATCAAATATTCATGTGTTTCTATCTAATCAACAAGATTGTGGCTAACTCCAATATACGCATGTACAGCCGAGGGACAATGTGATCCATTAAAGGGCCGATACATTTGATAGGAAATCAACGTATTACAAAACAATTCATACAATGAAAAACACATGATGTTGGCTTTGCTTTGATTAAAAGAGCAAGGTGTAGAAAAAAAAGGGCAGTTAAAGTGTTGTGTCCATATGGCCCAGAAGCCCCGAGGCTGCTGGCCTACACTGGGGGGGCCTCGGCACTCTTCCCTCTCCATGGGACCCCAGCTGGTGAAACAAACCCCATTTACTTTCCTGTGCGGCCTCAGCCACCATTATGGACCTTGGCTGTGGCTCAGCCCCCCCTCTGCCGTAATTAACAGCTCCAACGGCACAACAATTACAGCCCGGCACTGCACGCGCAATATGAATCAAAGAAGGAGCTAATAGGAACCAAAAACAGAGTGAGCCGTAAGAAGCTCGAGATGACTGCTGTTCTTTCAAATGGAATAAAGAGTAAAATCGTTGGGCTCCAAGCCCACAATCATTAGGCTGTAATTAGTTTACACAAAGCTCCCAGTTAAATGGCAAAATACGGTAATTAACACATGACAGAAAATCAAAGGCTACTTTGTAAGCATATGAGAAATAAGAGCCAGGGGCTCAGAAGCTGCGTACAGATTGCATCTGTAACAAATGAATGGACAAATGATTACAAATGATTAAATGTATTTTATCTGCTCTTAATTTTTGAGGAGACTGTGTAAGTTATAGAATAATTACAGGGTCACGCTTTAAACACTACATAAAGCACTTTTATCACATGCTCCCCGTACCAATGACCCAGACCTAACCAGTGATTGTTATGGACAGACACTGAAAGCTCAGTGCTGTGATAATAGAAGCAAACAGCTTCGATTAAAGAATTGAATTTGATTGAATTGAATTGTTGGGGGGTCGTTTATCTGACGATACACTGTACCTTCAGGGCTTCTGGATTACTACTACTATGTTTTCAAAAAAGATATACAGATATATAGAGTAGTTCACTGCTGTTCTCCCCAACACATCAACACTGGTCGGAAAATGGTTAATGGCTGTGTGTATAAACAGATATTTCATCTGTCTATTTAATGTTCTGTGACTCTGGGGACGGTGCTCAAAATACTGTAGGAATGAAGGGCCCAGCCTTGTGTTCACATAAAACATCCACTCTGGGCTAATTGATTAATTCCTCTGACCCCACTGTGACTTTAGCTTTTCAATGACAGAAGTGAATCAAACCCTTTGAACTGTCCCATCACAACTAGGATTTGTCTGTTAATTTTCTACTCAGCATGTTAACATTAGATGGCCGATCCCTCATTGATATGGGTGTAATAATCATAGCAATAAAGTTTATTGGTATTACAGATCTCTAAAACCAAAGCTTTGTGGGAGGGAGCCATAAAAAAAGGCATAATAGTAAAAAGCATCAATTTTGACAGAAGTAATAATGGAAACAAATACACACAAACCAAAATTCTAGCAAATTCAATAAAAATTGCAAATTGTTTGAAAGCGCTTCTAAGAATTGTTTCTATAGTTTATGACGGGGAGCGAAGAACGTAATCCTCTGAGACACATCTTTACCTGAATCCATTCGCTCTTCTTCCATAGCTCAGGACCATAACGATGGCATTCCTGCAGAGCCCAGTTATAGCAGCTCAGATGACGTGTGTCACAGTACGCTGTGCCAGAGCCTCCGTATTCAGAGTCCATCTTGAAGAGCCAGCGATGCACATCGATATTTTGAGCCATGAGTCCAGCCAGTGTCTCATGGAGCTAAACCAAGAGAGAGACGTTTGAATTACAAACAAAACACAGTAAACGTGAAAGTGTTATCTGTGTTACCAGGCACTGACAAAATACCTCATACTCTAATGCTGTCTGTCAATGCAGTTGTGTTTTGATCTCTCACCTGGTTGAGCGTGTAGATGTCTCCTCGACCCGGGGAGACATCAACCTCTGCCCCGGAAAAGATCCTCCTTCCTCCAGATTTGGTGCTGTGCAGCCGTGCAATAGCCGGTTCTGAAGCCAGGATTGGCACTCCCAGCTCATCAGCCACCGCTAGGTCATCCGCATGGGCCACCCCGCCCACAATATAGGCCTGCTTGCCCTGGATCAGGTGCTTGATGCGCTTCAGGGTGCGTGGACTGTACTTTAGCAGTGTGGATAGGCACAGGTTATGGGTCTGGAAGGAAGGACAAGAAAAAGGATTTCCACTGCAGCTAAGAGTTCTAAGTGTGTTTTCTAGGTGCTGTTTTTTGACCTGATTTATCACCGTGTACACACAAAAGATCTATTATTGTAGTAGCCAGCAGGGTTTTAACCTCTCCTGTATTTCAGCAGGTTGAATTGATAAAATGTGTCTGTGGGAGGCCTCGCCTATTCTTCACATCTTTAATGTGTGCTAGCAATGAGCTCCTTGGGAATATAACTAATTACTTCACATCTGTATTTATTTGATCCACATGGAATTATCCCTTCTGTCAGTGGCAGAATGCGCTGCCAGCAATGGGTAGCAGTCATTCATCTCAGCAACACGCCTGGCACAGTTTAACAACCAAACAGCAGGAAAATCAATAAAAAGAAATGAAGAAGACCATGTCATGTTGCATTTTAATCTAGTGCAAATGGGTAGAAAGAAAAAGATGGATAGAATGGCTGGATGTAAAATGACAATACTATAACACCTTCATTTTATTGCACTATTCAGAAGTTTTGAAAATGTTGCAGTTAGATAGAATAAACTGATAATAAAACCAATTAATATGGAATCTAATTATTTACTGAACACCAGCTAGAGACCATTAAACGTTTTTTATTTAAGTGAAAATGAATACAGCTCTAGTTTGCATACTTATTTCAAAAGTTGTAAGAAAGAATGATACATTTTTAAAAATTGAGTGCAGGACAACTGTAAGATGCAGTATTTTCTAGTACCCTCTAGAGGACAATTCACAAACTACAGATGTTTGTGAATTGTGCACCTCGACATTACGATACAACAGAGTCCTTCCTCTACACACACTTTTAAGATCCTGCTGAAAAACGGAATACACAAAATGCAAACGTGATCCATCTTACCGGGAAATAATCGATAGCCTCAGGTGTGAGGATGACGAAGCGTCTGGCCGAGGAGGTTGAGGCTCCACCACACTCCAGGAGGCGGGTGTAATAGTGCAAAATGTCATCTCTGAGAAGTCGTGGACATACGTAGATCACGTCCACGTTTTCATCTTAAAACGTATGTAGACAATGAGAGAATGTTTACATGAAAGCGGACTGAGAACGTGAATGTGCGTATACGGCAGTGAGGATGGAGAAAAAGCTCCTACCTCGAATATCACACAGTCTGCTTATTTGGATGTTCTGTAGGATGTCATATCCCCTCAAGTTCATACGCTGGCTTTGTGAGTATCCTATTCCAACGAGGTCACAAAAGTGTGTACACAGCTTTCAAAGAAGGATTCATGTCATCTCTAACATGGCTTTATTAAAAATATGCAGATCTGTCCAACTACTCTCATGTGCGCTCGACTTGAGGGAAGGTTTAGTTGCGTCTAAAGACACACAGTAGGGCAATCAGCCCAATAACTAGCAGGTGCAGTGTGCCGGCCATCCAGTTGCACCATGTCCAGTCACCGTAGAGCTACATTCAGTGGGGCTGCCATGATTTTACTTCATGTCTGTCTGCATTTCCGTCTGATAGACAATTCTCAACTGAATCAAAGTAATTAAATGATTGGATTCATGCTAATTAACAACAATGGGGTTCAACTTTCTAATTATCCTTGCTCACACAGCACTCTCTGAAGCCACCCCAAGTGCAAATAAAGCATTCCATCTGCTAGTAATTAGGCTTAATAATTTCAGACAATCGTTCAATGATTTACAATGCACATGCCTGATTACAGTCTGACTGTGAGTGCCATGGTGAAAATAGAACAAGAAGGATCATAGTTTGCAGTCTGTCTACTGCAAAAACACAAAATCCTCTTCCTATTTTGTGTGTTTTTTCTGCATAGCAATAAAATAAGACCTCTTGCAAATATTTGACCGAAATAGCTTTTCATTTTCTTAATCTGCAAATTAAATGGCAATGGAACTAAATTGTTCAGTTCCCGAGCATGGGGACCGCCATCACCCCGTGAGTGCTTTCCTGCAGAGAGCTATTTCAACGAGACAGAGTGTCTCCACTGGGGCCGCGGACTGGGGCAGCAGAGTGGTGAGACTGCTGCTACATCAGATGTGTGTGTGTGTGTGTGCAGCAGGCACAGAAAGCCACCTAATGAAGGGATGTGGATAATGGTCCTCTTGGAGGACTGGATGCGTTTCCAGTTGGCTGCCAGATGCTGGGGATGGAGAAAAGGAGTGATCAGAAAGCGCTGCTTGGATGCGTACACACTTTCATACACACACACGCACGCACACACAAATCATCATTACATGGATAAAACACATCAAGCCAATCTCTCTCTGGGCTAACAGAACCAAACCAAGCATAAAATATCACCGTAATTAAATTAAGCGTTTACTTTAGCATTATCTTCCCACAATTAATTCAATCAGCAAGGTACATGATGCTACTGCCAGGGGGAGATTAGCTGGCTTAATTAACAGGGTATGAATGTTTTAAGAGTGAGGACATACATTTAGTGCATGTATACACGCACAGAGATGTTAAAACTAAATGAACTTGTCGGTACTAATTAGTATTTTGTCAGCAGTCTAAAAAGATGTTCAACCCAGATGACAGCACAGACACGACATCTATGCTGAATGGGTAAAAATGTGCAGAACATTATGAGTTTTGGGGAAACTATCTCATGTAGTAAATTTGTCTTTGTGACTCAAAAGGAAGTAAGATTCAGTTGCATGATTAAATGAAACGAGTTTGGATATTGTACCGGCTTAATGAATATTCTTATCAAACCAATAGCTGCGTGTGTCCCACTTAACTACACATTCACAATCATTTCCTAACGTAAAACAACCACTACACATTTTTGGTATTTAAATACTTAAACCATGTTATTAAATATTTAGTTACCGTTAGATGTACTGTAATTCAGCGTTTTAATACCTTTGTTAAACCTTTTTGCAATTACCTCTTGCCCTCATAATTACTGTTTTTTTTATTGCTTTATCAATGGGGCTGCAGTTTAACTGCTCTATATTTCTTCAGTTCTCAACTGTTCATCCATCTCACTCTTCATTTCTGCTGTTCTCTATTGTTCATCAGTCCCACTTTCTCCCTCTGTTGGTTTAACTCCCCTGATATCTTGTTTTTGTCCTGATCCTTTCATGCTGTTCTATTCTGTTCATCTGGAGCATCGCTCCCCTATACTGTCCTGTGTTTTTGTTACTCGTACCAGAAGTATCAAAGCAGCAAATCTATTTTTAAGCTACAAAACCTTATTCATTTTTATTGACATGACATCACCCCCATTTCTGTCTATACTTTTATACTGTCATTTATAGAAAGATATTATACAAATAACCCACTTTAGAAAATACACGATAATACCTCCAATGCAGTTGCCACATACATCAACATTTGTAATCTGTCTCTAATTCTGATTACAAGGTCAAAACAATAGAAACAAACTTTGAAAGGTTAAGCAAGCAGCAATATTAAGCCAGAGAGGGAGAGAGAGAGAGAGAAATTACACAGTGATTATACGCAACATCACCTTGGCTCTGCCGTGGAAATTCTCCAGTTGTCTGGAACGACGGGCCTGTAGGGCCTTCCTCACGTGGCGCTTCTGAGTGAGCATCAGCCATGAGACAGTTATGGTGTCTGCCGCCCACCTGCGCCGGCAGTGGCGCAGGAAGGCCGTACGGGCCAAGTAGCGCCTCCAGCAGGACTGAATGTGGACGGCAGCCGCCTCGATGCCTCCCTCTCCCTTGTAGCGCTGACCCGGGCGTGAGAGCAGAACCAACACCTCCTCCCGGTTCTCCAGCACTGAGAGGAAGCCGGACTTTAGAGGACCCTGTAACCAACCACTTTCCCAAACATGGCCCAACTCCACCAGCCGTTGCCCGCTCACTCTGGCCAGTGGCACAGCAAAGTGCCTGAGCAGCTTCTCCAGGGCCTCCAGGGCATCTACCACAGTGCTCCAGCACAAGCTAAAGCTCTGCTTAAAGTGACGGAAATCTCCCGCCTTTGAGTTAGTGCGTCCCATTAAGATGGTAAAGTCGTATTCGTTGGTATTTACTGGTCCTCCCAGGGGTAGATTCTAAAGAACACAGACAAATGTAGACTTTAATAATTGAAATGCTATCTTTTTTCACGTTTCTATGTATTATATTCAACATGCTGTATATTTAAAACGTGTACAGTGATCTTACGTGAGGGCTTATGGGGATAAGGCCGTTGGTGCCTGGCATCATGCCCCTGTGCTCCATGCTGTTGGAGGATGCGGAAGGAGGCGGAGCCTTGACGCAGGTGGGTGTCCACTCTCTGTCTATGGTTGTGCAGCTGGGTCCAGGTTCCGTTTCAGATTTTAGCTGCTTGTGACACCTGGACATCACGCTTATCCGACCTGGAGTCACAAATAAACAGGCTTAACTATACTTTATCAGGGATCGATCAGTGGAAAACAGTCATCCACGTGTATTGAAGTGGCAGCTGTCTGTGCTACAGCGGAGTCACTGAGCAGACCTGTCTTTGGAGAGAGTGAATCCTCTCTGGAGTGAAAAGACGCTGCCTCGTGCTGTTTCGCCATTTGAAGCACATTTGTATTTGGCACTGATGAAAACATGAAATAGAAGAATAACTTAAGCTAAAAAATGGCTTGAAGATTTGAAAAATAATATGCAACAACAATTTGGAAAGCTAATTCTATTTAGTTATATGCTACTGAATATGAGGTGGCTGCCAGCTAAAAATTCCTGACATGTACACTTAAGTTTAAGTTAGTATGAATGTGTTGGTGCTGAGGTGAATAAAATGTTTTACCTGTCCCCACGTCTTCTTCTGGCTTCGCCAGGCCACGGCGGGACTTTGTGACCAGAGGACTCACCACAGGGCCAGTGAGTATTTCATCAGGCCTTGCCTTAACAGAACATTTTCATAAGATCAGATGTTGAAACATTGTAATAATCAAACCAAAGCAATACTACCAAACCAGTAATTCCTACTTACTGGTGCAAAAATATCATTGACAACAGTCAATGGGAACTGGACTTAACTGCTTAATCTAACTTAATGAAACAGTGACATGTTGAGACGTTGAGCATCTTTAAATTCAGTGGGGGGGGTTTTCTTCAACAAAATGTATTTCTTTTCCAGAGAAACCGTTCTGTGTAGGAGATAACCAACCATTAATCATACTCCAGTCAGAGAACTAAGATACCTACATGATCACAGACAGAATTTAAAGTGGGCAATGGCAACTATCCTGTAACCCCTCAATCAATCCATAGTATCCAAGATTGAGGGGTATCTTAACCTTCAAAGAATGTAAATAGTTGTATAAAGTTGTATTGTTTAAAGTTAATTCTTCTGGCCTTAAAAAACGGGTTAAAATGCATCATTAGTCAGAAAACCACGTTTTTGCTGTGCTTATTCTCCAGACTTTCCACCTAACGTCTTCTCCTTTGTTATTTTCAGACCACTGAGCTCTTTGACAGGCCTCAGGTAGTAGCCAGGTGCTGGGAGAATATCCCCTCAAAGGCACACATCTGTTTCAGATGGGGTTGGGAAAAGGTGGCAAAATTGCTAAGATGCAAAAGCTCATTTCCTGGCATGAGTGTGGAGTGGAGACGAGCTGGCCTGAGTTGCAGGAGGAGGCAGCAGGCAGAGAGCCAGTAGTTAGCAGTTGGGGAAGCCACGGCTGTCTTATTGGCATGCTGGACCAGGTAGCCATTTCTGTCCTGAGACAGCTGTAAACCAGTAGACCATAGCACAGCAATCAGGCGCCTGTTTCTTTAGAAGAATGCTGATGTGCTGCAATCTGCTGCTTTCCGCATTCTGCAGCCAGCACTTCCATCTCTCCCATATCAGGGTGACAGTCTTGGCCGCTATTTCTCACGTCAGGTATAGATCACCACAGATATTGGAAAATAAAATGTGTAAAACATTTCTAAAAGTAATGCCGACCTTTGCGAAGATTAATTTGTTTGCTGTGACAAGTGCTAGCTGTCCCCATTAAGCCAGTGAGTGACCTTTATGTCCCTGTCTCTCTGAACAAGATGCTTGAAACACCTATTAATGCAGACTTGTACCATCACTCTTTACTCCAGCATAAAGGGTCTATCCTGGAGATAAAGGAGTGAGCATCAGGGAAAGGAGTGATGATATCCAATTCATCTTGGTTGTAGCTGGACCTCTTGTAAGGCCTTCCAATGTGTTTTTATAGTTTATTTTACGTGTCAGGCGGGGGCAAGACAGCTTCCTGCGTCTTTGGTTCTCTCTTTCTCTCTTTCCAGGTGTAATCCCCGTGATTGGGTTCCACCTGTGGCCCTCAAACAACTGGGCCGGGCTCGGGGATGAAAGGAGGAAGACGTGTCGAACAAGGCAAATGCGGATCTATTCGAATGAATGTATTTGTTGTGGAGGTTTGTTGTGGGCAGTTGAAACATTCCATGGTTGTTATGTAAACTACTCAATCTGGCAACACATTTGAGAACATCATCCTGAAAAAAGCACCTTCATTTCACAGAGAGTCTGACTTACATTAACTAGCATTTTTAAAATCATAGTATTTACTGTAAAACCGTACACTTTACATCAAAATTCAATTACAGCTAAATATTGTATATTAATCTAGATTGTGGTCTGACTTACTTTATTTGTCTTCCTCTTGTGGACATCAGGGAGTGATATCCCAAATGTCTGATGCATAACAGCTCTGTTGTTTGGATGAGCAGGATTATGCGAAGTACGCTTGGTTAAAGCTGACTTGTGCTAATCATGACAGATACAAGAAAAGCTTCAAAACTTGAGTTAAGTCAATATCAACAATTCAAATGTACGAATTGTTTTGCGAAGCCGAAAAGTATTTTTTCTTCTCCTTTGTCTCCTGTGCTTCTCCAACACACCATTTCACCTTGTGTTGGTCTTGAGTGTCTTAATGTGTAATGCCATAGAATAATTACATTTCTAACTTACCTAACTACAGTTTAAATTGTAGCTTGCACAATGTACAGTATACAAGCCATGTAAATAAATTGAACAAAATAAATAATGATATACCTCACTGCAGTGTATACACTGTACCGTATACTCTGTATTACTATGTAAATAAATTCGTTTTTATTTCTCAACAAAATAAAGAATGATCTACCTTTTCCCCAGGCGAGGCCCCAGGAATGGCTTCCCTTTGTGGACACACATCTTGGATACTCTCCAGGTCAGGTTTCCTGTACGATGGGTTTATTTCACTCCAACAACTCACACCACTATGCAATTCTAAAGATACTTGGTAAGAGTTCTAACAACGAGATGGTGCATAAAAAGGATTTAGCACTATAAAAAGTAACATGTGAGTTTCTCCTCACTTACCATTTGGGAATCTGTTTCTTCTTTTGCAAGTCTTGAATTCTTGGAAGGACCAGCAACTGCTTTGACACCGTTTTCAGATAATCATCTGCATGCTTCTATTTACATAGATATATTAAATAATAAGCATATAAAATATGATCAAAATAATCCAAGATACATATATATTCTGTAGTTATTTTGCGTGAAGCATCCTCACCCTGAGGCTTCTTTCTGTCTTGCCGATGGCAGCATCCAGAGCTTGAATGTCCAGTGTTTCCCCTCTTTCATTGACAGTTATGTTCTCAAGAGCACATTTGAGTTGTTTCAAATCCTCTTGAACCTGTAAAATGCAGTTATGTGATTTAACGTAAACTAGTGTAGATATCTGGCCCATAAATTGCCAAGCTTCAAACTTGTTCTTGTGCTTTGGTAGTTAATCTAAATGTATTTGAGGTTTGAAAATCCTCAAATACCCCGTTGACTTAGCCAACAGCTAGCTAACGTTAATGCTATATTAACGCTATCTAGCAAAATGGGTTCTAAGCTGAGGTAGTCACCATTACCTGAAACAGAACTGCTCCCAAATTATCTTCGTTTTGAACTGTCTCCGACATAGTATATTCAGTTGAAAATAATACAAAGGATAATAATATTACACTATTTTATATTCATAATGAAGACCTCAAATGAATCACAGGTCTTCACACAGTAACCTACTCGCTGCCATGACAACAAGAGGCTAATTTAGGCAGTATAATCTACTCAAAACCACCACAACGGGCCAACCTTCGTTACAAAGGCAGCAAAAAAAAACGAAGCTACAAATGTAATCTCATTACAACGCCATCATATAATAACGTTCAAAATGTATTAGTAGGGGTTTTGGGAAGATGCTTTGCTATTTGATTGAAAGAATAATTTGAGGCATTCAAATAGCCTTTACTCTGAAAGGGTTTGGTGCAGGAAGTGCTTTTAATGTCAATGTTGACGTATTCACAAATTCTATTTTTGTATCTTAAGTTAAGGTATGTTACGACAATATGTCACCTAGTGGAAACGCACATAAATAAATCGAATGGTGTTATTTAAAAAAAAAAGAATGTTTTCTTCACTTTCAGGGTAAGCAACGCTGCACCGGAAGACGCGGCTCTGAGTTGAAAGGTCATCAACGTCAAATCAAGCTAGCTGCTGAAGAAGCTTGTCCCATTTAGAATAAAAATGTCAAGTACAGAGGATGAAACGGAGATTCCTATTCCATGTGTGCTCATCACAAGCTGTGACGGTGGTTTTAAAGAAGAAGAGCTGATTAAACGTAAGTTTAGCTGGGCTCAACGTCCACTATTTGACAAACAGGCTAACTGAGCAAAGCTAACTTACTATTAGCACAACAGGTGACATGCTATCGCGTCTATATTGTTAATACTGGTCGACAACATCATGTTTCTCTTATTTTAATCTGTGTTTCATAACGAATGTCTTCGTTCTCCAGAGATCCTCAGTTCGAAGACTTTGCCGGAGCCGATCAAACGAGAAGAAACGGTAGCCTGGTATCCATGGACCATCAACAACAAATATTATACGGCGGATGTGAGGCTATGCGTTGTGTCAAGCACTTTTCAAATGTCATCGGAGATCGCCCAGTCCATGCAGGCTTTTATCGCTTATTTTGACAGTACAGTGGTACGTGACGTAAAAATATGCTGTAGTTTGCGAATCCCAACAATGATGCATTGTGTGATACATTTATAACATCTGTTGTATGTGCATGGGCTTTGCAGAAGGATGGTCTGGAAAAGCTACTTCCTTGGATATCAGTAGTGGAAGATCTTGCCCCAGAAGTGTTAATTCTGGTGTGCGATAGAGTCTGTGGAGATGGTTAGTTCCCCAGCTGTTAATGATGTCCGTTAGCTTGCATAAATCACTTGATTACAATATCGAAGAGTATAATTTGGCACCTGACATTTATTTTCAAGGGATCACCAGACATGAAGCCCAACAATGGTGTCTGTCTCATGCTTTCGAGCTTGTGGAGCTCAATCCACAGGAGTTGCCAGACGAGGATGGTGAGTTTTACGGAAAGCAGAAATTTAAATGGCTCTAAATTACTTTTACTACGCATTGTTTTCTACTCATTTATGTGGTCTTTGTTGCTTTAACAGATGACTTTCCAGAATCCACAGGAGTCAAAAGAATTGTCCAGGCTCTCAATGCCAACGTGTGGACCAGTATGGAGATGAAGGACGGTGAGATGACGTCAATTATACATTTACCTATTCTATTGAATTTAGCTCTGTATGAATGTTATGTGACAGGGTCTACTTCTCCCTGATAGGACACAATCAGGGCTTCGGTCTGATGAGCAGTTTAGTAGCTGCCAGACACAACAACCCACACAGCTGTCAAGATCCACAGGTCAGTGGCAATTTATTTGTAATAATTCAATTATTTACTTAAATCGTAACTCAATTTACAGTTTTGTTTGATATTTTCGAACTTCTTTATCTCGTGTCATCCATCTATTTTCTTTTAGTTAGGATTTTAAATGTGCCAGTGTTAGATGAGCATGCTAAGCCTAGCTCTGTGTCTGTAGCCGTCCTCCAGTTTGCCAATCGAGGGCTCGCGTGTCAGTGAGGAGACTGAGCACACAGAAAGTAGCGCCAACACAGAGACCCAGGCGGACACAGTTGTTGGTAAGTCAACGACCCCTGATAGAACTGTTTTTTTTTTTTGTTGACAATAACGGATAAAGAATGAATACCCAGAACAAAAATAATATCCCGATGATCGAAGGCAACATTTAATGTTCACTTGTGTTTATTCATTCAGACGCATTGACTGATTTGGACATCCGGGAACTCGCTAATCTCACAGCTGGAGATGCAGATGTGGATAACTTTGAACGTCTTTTTACTAAATTAAAAGAGATGAAAGGTAATTGGGGAATGGAAAGGGACCACACAACTGTTTTTCCATCTTTTAAACTTACAGTATGTGTGTGGGTCAAGTTACCAAACGACGGCTGTCATTTGTTGTTTTCTGATTTTCAAATTGCAGACAAAGCTTCCTCCTTACCTCATGAGGAGAGAAAGGTTCATGCAGAGAAGGTAAGCAACTGTACAAGACACAAAGACTGAGTGTGATTCTCATAAAATCTGCTTAACATTAAAATTGTGTCATGACATTATTTCAAATAACCGTTCGTAGTCTTGCACCAAGTGGTTACACTGAATCTGCTTTCCAGGTAGCAAAGGCGTTTTGGACGGCCATTGGTGGTGATGACGATGAGATAGACGGGTTATCGTCAGGAGAGGAAAGCTAAAAGCACAGACCTGTAACTCAGTCCCTTTTCTCCTGGTCCTCCTCCCATCCTGGAGCGCTCATATGATCCGGCACTCGTGGACGTGTTTCACCTGAAAGGTGTGAACGCTTACAGGTGGTACATTTGGCGTAGTCCTATTTAGACACTTTTGATTCTTAAATTGAAATAATTGTGATACTCGGAAATTGTGAGAAGCATTTGCGTATTTGAATTGGGGAGATTAGTGATTCCCCCCCCCCCGGGTCGCTTGCTTTGCAATGAGCCCAGAGTAAAACTTAATACATGGTGGTGCGGGTGGAAAAACATAAGTAATGTAACGTGGGCTTCAATTTAAGTCCATTATACAATGGTACACTTGTCACATACATTTGCAAGTGACATAATGTGTCTTATCCCTGTAAGAGTTGTAAGATGTTTAATGCATATTCTGTTGAATCAACATAAAGACTTGTGATTTCATTTTATATGCTCCTTTGTGTGTGATTTGTTAACTACAGACAATTTGTTAAGTCTGTTGCACTACAAAGACATACAGGCCGTCTGCTTATTGCTTATTAAGAAAGAAATGCAGACCAGAAAAAAGAAACACTGGTATGCTGCAATAGATCATCTCTGCAATAAATAGAATGATCTATTGTGGTACTGTATTGACCAGCTTACTGGAGTGTTTGATATTATGTATTTACATTTATGGAGAAGCAGAATTAAAAACAGTTTACGATTTTCCAGTCCAACAAAATACCATTGTTGCCCTTGGGTTGACGTCTTACAGTTGAACAAAGAACATTACAGGACAGTAGTATTGGACTGCTTTCATTTATATGGATTTTATTTTTCTGTCACTGTATTAATCATGATTTTAAAAATTACTTGAAATAATATTACTCAGTTACCAATATATTCATCAATAACAAAGGTCCTTTGAGGAAAAAAATCCCAAAACTAAAAGGAAAACAAGCAATGAAATAAAGAACTAGCAACTATACCCAACATACTGTAGTACACATTATTTCCATTTAGCACCTTGTAAGAGTTTAATAGATTCCATGGTGACTCAGTCTTACATAAGTGCAAGATGAACAAGGCACCTTCAATGACAAAGGACAGCGAGCATATAACACAGGCCTTATATTGTAGCAAGGTACATGTAATATATAGTATTTACTAGACAAGCCATACCAGATCTAAAGCATCACACTAATCAACTAAGTGCATTATTTACCCACTGCCATGGTTACCGCTAGTCAGTACGCTTCACACTAAAGTCACACGGGGTCCTGAATTCAACCTGTTCACTAGGATTGTTCAGACCTTTTGTCCCTATGAAAATAGCTGGAACAGTAGTTCTATGTAACGCTTACACTGACCCGTGTTTAAAAAGCCTGCTTTTAAGGATCAATAAGAGTCTTTTTGTGAATCCACTCACGCCAGAGGCCAGTTGGCTCAACTGTTTCAAGCACTGCACGACTACGAGAAGTCACAAGCTATAAATATTTATGTTCAATCATTTTGAGGCAATAAAAAAAATATTCCCACATAGGACAGTATGCAAAAATAACTTAGAAAATGTCTTTCACTGAGCAAAGTAGTTTTCATAAAAGTGTTCTTCTCAAGAAACAATGGTGCTGATGTCTATATTCAGTTTAAAAATTACATTTTTTAAACTGAATATTACATTACAATTACAAATACAAATCACATGATCAATCATATAATTTAAATATATATCTCTCAATGGGGCTAGTACATTGTACTTAAGATATTAATAACAAATTGTCTATTTAATCATTACTATATTTAATTTGTCAATAATTTATGGTTTAGTTGATAAATAAGCCTCCTAATTCCTCCTAATGGGACAAGGTACAAGGACACTAAAACACCAACAATGACAACATATTCGAGCTAATTCACAGAATCAAAATGAGTTTGAAATATGTTAAAAGTTAGTTATAACCTGAAACTGACAATTTCAAATCAAACAAACATTTCAATATAAAAAAGCACAGCACTGAGCAGACATGAGGTCTAAATGAATAGAGAAGGAAATGTGATTAACCTTTTGAAACCTATTGCAAATACCCTGTGGCTGCCCGTTTACCAAATGAAAAACGAAACCATGTAAAAGTCCTTAAATAACCATCAAACGGAGACACTAAATGGTAGTAAGGAAAGTGCTGGGGATTTGAAATGTTAGAGACGGCGAGGGATCTTTCGATCTGATGGCTAGTATCTCATCACCATGGGATGCTTGACTTGTCCTATGTGGTTTGTGGATGCGAAGGGGTAGCGGTTCTGCTCCTAGGACACACTGGAGCAGTGGATGCTGGGAGAGCCCATCTGGGTGAGAACCTTGTCCAGCCACTGCAAAGGGCCATTGAGATGCAGTTCTATCCAGCAGGGGGTGCTGGTCACTGTCTGACGTCTGCAGGGTACAGAGAGGAAGAAGCAGCACGGTTGGTCATTGCTAGAGCTTGTCGCACTACTTCAGAGTACCACACAATTTACAGAGTCGTTTTTCATTGCAAGCCACAATTAACAATGACACTTTTCTGTGTTTAATTACACAGTGTCAGGTGGAGGTACTGCATTCAAAATAAACAAACTTAGAAGAAAATTCACAAAATAAAACATGCAGTCAAAAGAGACAACAGAGCAGACAACAGAACAGATTCATAAGCAAGTAAGAACCCAGGAATTCAGGTGTCACTAGTTCCTGTATCGTCCTCGGCCGCAGAATGAGCCAGCTTGGTCCTCAAAGCACAGAGCGGATCTCTAAATATTGACCCGGGGAAACAAGCGGCCCCTCTCGATTTGGAGTGATGGACGTGACTTGATTTGTTTAAATTGATCAATCAGCCTCTCCATTTCAAAGTCCACTGCTGAATTTGCTCCCACTACATCCATATATATTGTTCTTCCCCCAAAAGGTTTGAGTGAGATTGTGTTCTTGATTTTAGTAAGTGCAAAGATACAGTCTGCCTTTCTTTATTAGAAACAAACTGAAGCCAACTCTACCGGCCTTTTCTGTAGTGATTTAAGTTTTTAAGTCAAAGATTTTTTCCTCCAAGGTCTTTGGTGCCAGAGATGTAACACCAGTGGGAATCCCCTTTGCAAAGGGTGTCTGAAATGTGTTCACCTCCCACTTCACGTCCCCCTAGCAGACACATGCTTGCCGCATTCTTCCTGTTACTCAACCCTATCTTGCCGACTCACACTAGCACCCTCCCCCAGTGACCTGCTTTCTCCTTTCCAAGCCTGCACGACACTCTTCTAACCACCAAAACTGACACAAATGATTCTGACCATAAACATCCAACCCCTCACATTTTGAAGCACTTACACATTTGTGTTCTAAATGTGAGCATCCCAACATTTACGTCTTTTGTTGAATTCTGTATCGTTCCATTACGGCATCTTAAGCGAGCAGATCATATATTTGTATCAGTTAATCACAATCATTTGAACATTCTCTGGTTGACCTCTATTGCCTTACACACTTTGCCAACTTTTATATAAACACACATTAACATGTTAATGTCAGAAATCCATAGAATGGGATATATTTGTAATGGTCTTAATTAGTTTGAAATGTACTGCTTTACCTGTACTCTGCTCCCCAACCTTTGACAAAACTCATGCGAATGGTGCACATTCTGGTGAGCTGGTAGACGGCCTCAAAGCCCCGGTTGACTGACTGGGCGAGGAGAGCAGCAAACTCCTGGTTGTTGAAGATCTTCAGGTTGCAGCCTGCAAAAAAATATGTTTTATTATCATAAGGAGAAGCACTGAGGACACTGAGGAAGTAGATTTCAGTATTGACGGAGCATCAGATCTCAGTTGTGTGCGGGTTATTTTACCCCTGGTTGCTTCATGTATGCGTGTGTAGCCTCCGATGCTAACCTGGAGGTATTTTGCAGACAGTGGCCGGATGCCAGCCGTAGCGCTGGTTGCAGTTAGGACTCTGAACAAAGATGGCACTGTCACTGAGACACTCGGCGAACACCTCTCCTCCGATGTAGTACAACCTCACGCCCCGCCCTGGAAAAGGACAAATCTGTCGACTATGGCAAGTGCGAGTAGAACAGTCGACTTGGATCAGAGCTTATGAAATAAAATGAGTACCTATGTGTCTGCGTGTGAGCTCTACCGCGGAGTTGCGGTTGACGTTGGACAGCAAGCCCAGGCAGAAGCGTTCAGAGTTGGATGGGTCCGTGAATCCGTCGACAGTGAGGGAGGGCTGGGAGGCGTGGAAGGTCTCTCCTACGCGTTGGTTCAGCTCGTAGTAGGAGATGGAGCACCAGAAGGCAGACTCGCAGTATGTCACAGGTTGTAAGTCTGCGTGAGCAACGGGTGGGGGTTGGATGGAGCGACATTAGCTGAGATGCAAGTTTCAGTTGGGTCAATGAGAAAACTCCTTTAGAAAAACATGGGAACAGGCACTGCTTTGTTGTAAAACAACCATTTGATTGTGAAAATGCACTCCGCTGAGGAAGTTTGCCTTTGATTTCCTTTCAAAAGCTCTTTCCCATGACCCTCGTGGCCCCAGCCAGGAATGGCCTTTTTTTTTTTTCTTCGTCTTCTTCTTTTTGACCATGACCTCCTGGTGGCTTCCCACATAGATAGGATGCCCTGGCAACCGGATATTATTATTGCACTACCTTGAGCTCCTGTTGCTGGCTTATCCACATACAAGGACAGACCAAAGACAAAGGCTCCATTCACACCACACTTACTCCGTGACTGCCCCGAGGCCAAGCCTCCCAGACGTAGACCATTGCTCCTGAATATTGCTCATAAATAACAGGAAGTTTTTCCTTATCCGATTCTAGGGTCCGAGAACAGAGCACGCCGGTATGTTGGGAAGATTGCAAAACCGCCTGTAGCACATTTTTGATATTGGGCTATATACATACAAATTAAGAGATTGGTCACTTCTGGTTTACTGATTTGTTGATCTGCCATATATATATATATATATATATATATATATATATATATATATATAATAGAAACATGTGTACAATAGTGAATGACTGAATGTGTCATTTTTAAGGCTGCGGAAATGAACGCGGACGCTATGCGAGGTCAGGCCAGGTCATAATCAGTAAGATACCTTACACCAAGTAATTGCTACAAACCAGATAAGTGCACATTAGAAATTATATGCTCTGTAAAGTAAAGTCCACCCTCTTGGTTTTTACTTACCAAGATTACTGTTGGCGGGTGACACAGGGTTGGGTGACAGGCTGGGTGAACCTGGAATAGAGTGGTAATAGAAGTTTGGGTTTATGATCCAGATAAGGCATAATTAGAATAGCACGGGCTTGAATTGTGTGTACTTTGATGTGACTCACCTGTCTCCATGCTGTGGTTGAGGTGGTGATCATTTGTCTCACCATCCTCACTCAGATACCCTGGTGGGGGAGTTTCTAAAACATCCAAACACAGACAAGCTTAAGAACAATTTCAAAAGGTTTGACACGTTTTCCATTGCTGAAACAGGTTTTTGAAGAATGAATGCTTTACAGCTATTTGTCAGTAAAACATCAATTAAACCAGCATTCTCATACAGTCAAGTTCACCGTTGTCTGAAATGTTGTGACACTAACCAGACAGTCCTTTCCAAATTAAACCAAACCAAACCGCGAAAAATGATTTTTCTCACCAGGAATATAGTTACTCTGGGGCTCAATGTCAGCGGGAAAGTTGGTGTTCTCTGGGATGGATGGACTGTAGTCATCCAACGGGGGAAACTCCGCGGGGATATCTGTATGCCGCGGCACCAGAACAGGAGGTAAAGCTGGAGAGACACACAGATACTTTCATTAAATATAAGTTCAGTTCTGTATACACTGTGGCAAACGCATTATCCTAAATACAGTCATTTGGATCATGTAGCAATTAAATGCACCCACTTGGCGTCTCCACCCTCTGGTAGTGGTAGGGGTTGACGCAGACTTCATCCTTCTTCGTGTGGAAGGCAAACTCACAGTGGTCGACGGCCCTCAGCTCGTGGTGGGACTGCAGGTCCGGCCAGCGCCACAGGCGACAGTAAATGACATGAGGAAGACCTTTCCTGTGAGAGACCTGAAGACGGCCATCTAAAGATCTGAAAGACACCACCGAAAAGGCTGTAGTGGTACATGGAGTTTCAATCAATGACTCTTCGCTCCATGCTCTGGCTTTTGTTGAGATCAAGACATTGAATCATAAGACACAACCTTTAACATATTTGCTTGTTCAGTGTAGATTAACATTTACCAAAGGCAAAACATCAAAGCATTTGACTAACATCCACAATGTGCTTTTTCATCATTCAAGAGTGTATAGTGTATGTGTATTGTGCCAACCTATCCCTCAGTCCTTCCCACACAATAGCACCAGTTATGGAACTAATAATGACCCACTAAATAAATACTCATTTCAGGCAACAAACAAAAAGCTGGCTACAAAGTCTTCGGTCTAAGTAATGTCACACAAGAAATGATGAGTAGAGAAGCCAGCCAGGCATTTAGATGGATCTCAAAACAGGACTTCTTATCCTTCAACGTTCCAGAGTGGGAGAAAAACACTTTCTGTTAAAGACGTTGGTCTCACGGCCAACATCAGCCAGCATTTATGATGTTACACAATAAAAAAAAGTGTGTACTGCAAAGTTCCTACACACACACACACACACGAAGACTGGTAACAACACAGTTTAGCTGGTAGCCTGATGTTTTCACTACGCATACCACACAGATTCTCTGCATCCCCAACAAGTAGCTAGACAGCTGTTATTCTATAAACCTACAGCCTCTAAACCCCCAGAGTTCAAAACAGTGGCCCACGCCCTCCCTAGAGCCCAGAGCAAATTCCCATGAACTGAGAGAAGGTTTTGAATGTAGGTGAACACCCTCTTCTACACACAGCATGATAAGTGACTGTCAGTTTAATTTGCTGCTTCAATACTTCATGGGGAAAGAAAAGCTTTGAAAGATGCTTAACAATTAAAAGAAGACACTGAGGTTGTATCCGGGATTCTTCTAAACTGCCTTTCACCAGCAGAACCGAGATCTATATCAATGTGGGGCAACGGGTGGAAAGAAAAGATCTAAAAGGACATGAAAAGAGCTATGGTACTTAGACTGCACATTATTTGGGTTATACATCCACCCAAGTGAAAAGATTTTAAATCAACATGTTTGACTCATTCAGGCTACTGAGAATGCATCAGTTTGCGTGCACAGTTCTGCAGCACTCCCCCAAAACTCAACCTCATCTTGTAGTAGTTACTGGGTATCCCATATGGGGAATCCCAAGCTGAGCCCTGATTCCAGTTCTCCCAGACTACCTACACACACACACACACACACACACACACACACACACACACACACACACACACACACACACACACACACACACACACACAAACACACACTCGCACTCCAGCCTAAACATCCTCGGAGTCACAGAACTGCTTTGCCAAACCACCTCTTCTGATATTCACCACACGTGTGAACTGTGGACATATTAGTTTGCGTAGCACCGAATGTACCGCAGGCATGTGAACAGGCGAAACGCGCTTAAAAGACATTCTTTTAAAAGTTGCTCAGGCAATTTGAGAGACCCAAGTTGCATGATGATATTGCTTGACTTGATAGTATAGGTTAACGTTATGTGACGACCTGCCTTAATGTGGGGTATTGGCACAAATCGAAATGTCGTCCGCTTACATTTGACGTTATTATATGTAACGTCTTAGTAGTTGAGACTGGTACAATGCCAATTGTTACCCGTTTATATATCATAATGTAAAATGTAACGTTAGGCTGAAAAGCAAGTTCGCTTGTTACCATGTAGGATTGGGTTAGCTTAAATGTAGCTACTAAAGCGAAGTATAAAAGCATTTTTTAAACACTGCAGATAACACCTTTTATGTCTTCAATTATGTTTTGGTAATGGACCGGTCAACATTAACATTGATAAGCCAACAGAGAAAATGTCTAGACAGACAAAATCACAACGCTTCTAATATTAGCACAATTAACTAGCAAGCTACTTAGCGAACATAAGCTAACGTTATAGTCAGCCTTTAACGTTAGCCAACTACGCAGAAAGCTAACGCCAGTTAGCCATTTGTGTTGTTACCTGGGTATGGTTATGCATTTCGTGTGGACATTCTGTGTTGTGATGGCTTTTTCCAACTCGTCCAACTGTCCAGTCTTTTTCAACTTCTTCACAAGACTTTTGACAGCCTTCTCGCACCATTTCTCCTCTTGCCCGTTCTGCTCTCCCTTCTTCCAGCCAAGAAGCCTCTTCACGATTGGAGGTGTAAACGGTAATATAGACATTTTTTTAATTCAATTCACCCGGTCGAAAATTACCTACAGTACATGGACTTGGTTCCCAGAATTGCTAACATTAACGTAGCAGTTAACGCAGTTTCTCGTCGAGTTAGCCAGCTAGCTTCGCTGGATAAACTCCCAGGCGGACGAGTGGCTGGTCGCTGCCCGCGGACTCAGCAGCAGCAGCAGCGGCGGCGGCGGCAGCGGCTCGCGTCGCAAGTCAAATCAGATCGCCCGAGTGGTGGAGCAGCTCCTCCGTCAGCCCGGCTGTCTTTCTGCCCCTCCTCCTGCTCCTCAGTCAGCTGCTCTGTCCTCCACCTGCATCAACTGACAGCGTAAAGCGGACAATAACTATTTTTCTACCCAATACAATACCAGCACCTATTTAAACATTTTCAGTTTAGGGTAAATCAACTAAACTGTAAAGCAGTGATTTAAGCTCTCTTTGATTAACTTCTTGCACCTTTTGGATTATGGTCATTTCATTATCAATTCAGATCTCTTAGGCCTATGTTTACATTTTCAAAAGGAATGTGTCCTCTTAACTTGCATGAATTAAACTTATGTCAAACACAGGAGTCAATAGATTGCCATCTGAGATATGCCATCGCTGAAAAGTGATCCAATACTTGCATTTACTGGGTCCATGAATAGAAGACCCCTGAAGAGTAATCCCTTTCATCCTGTCATGAAAGCGATTTGATTTCACCACTGATGCATCTTTCCAGACATGGACGAGGGAGGTGACTTTGATATCAGTTGTATCCTACTTGGGGTTTAAGGGTGTTATTAATAAGTGCATCTCATGGCTGATGCCTCCAGTAAACATCCGTGTTCCTGTGCTATAAATATCTCCATCCAGAACCAGCCTCTTTCCTTGTCTCTATATATAAACTCTATCAATGACTGGTACCTATTTTTAACCAAGTATTTGGCATTGTCTCCTTTAAATAAATATTCAAGCAATCTTGGCAATGTAACTTGAAAATATTATAAAAGGACACTTGGCTCTTGGTACAACAGTTAGATATTATGTCAAACAATGTCAGAAATAAAAAGTCATGAAAGATTATGTAAAAATTTCACATTATACGCAAAATAGTATTTATGTCCAAAAGTATTCCCTGTTGATATAATCTGTTTGTCAGTCAACTGACAATTGAAAGTCTAAGTTCTTTCTTATGACTCATTACCAAGGTTGTTTTACCAAGAGTTTATCTTGCTCATACTGTTGATAACATTGATCTGAAATGTTAAACGTGTATTTGGTATAGAAAGCAGGCGGGCGATCTTTCTTCATCATGTTCTCTGATGCTTCAGGGCCATCGCCTTTTACTGCCGCAGGACACAAGCTGGACAGCTGGCCTGTGTGTGTGTGTGTGTGTGTGTGTGTGTGTGTGTGTGTGTGTGTCTTTGTGAATGGGAGAGAGAGAGAAAGGAATGGGGGCCTTGTATTTGTCAGACTGCTGGACAGATGGGCTACAACAAGCAGGAGAAGAATCATTTTGGACAAAAGGCACGACGTCTGTGAATAAGCAATGACTGCAGACAATCTGATGGATAACAAAGGCATTGTGATTGACCACTCAGGAGCTACGTGGGAAACAGGCAGGATACGGAGAAGAGGCCTGATCAGCTGGGCTGCTGTCACAACATTGCTTAGACAAGGATGGAGTGGCAATTAGAGTAAATATGCCTTTTGTGTGTCCATATTGTCGAATTGAACTGACATTTTAAGTGTTATGAGATTACCAAAATCTTAACTAAAGCTTAAAAATGCCAGAGTTCTGCTATCAACACTATCTCTATAGATAAATTATAGCTTACAGAACTGTATGATTAAAAGAAATTGGAGCTCCACAAACCAGTAATTGCCTCAGCAGCTAATTGCAGTGTGTTAGAACCAGACGTGGTCGTTCTGCACAGCGCTAAACGGGTGGGGTCCGGTTCCTGCAATCTCTGCCTCCTTTTTAAGCTCCTTTCACACGGCAAGTTACAAGTTATTGCCTGCACCCACCAATCTCTCCACAGACAGTGGCCCCTCTGACCCTGGTACAGTAGTGACCTCCCTCCCTCTTGGCTGAACCAAAACACCCACAATAGCTTCAGACTCGTACAGACGATGAACCTTGTTGCTTTCTTTATCTCCTGCATTTGTCTCACAGGTTAATGCATGTGCGATGCCGTAATCTTCTCACCTGTAGATGTTGATTTGGGCTGTTTTTTGCTGACACTCATTGAACTAAGATAGACATCTGGGAAATATTGGCAGAGCATATGGAATAAAAGCCATTTATTGACCACGTAACATTAACATTTACACATGCCATTATTAGAGGGTGAGAATTATACAAATATATTGTCAGATGTTACTATTGGATTATTAACATCCCCAAATGTATTATTACCAGATAACAGTAATCGCTTACCCAAATGCTTTCACATGGCTTCTAAAAGATTAGTAAATGATTTATTAATCAATAACATGCCCTATTGTTAATGCCTTTTGCCTTATTAATAACTTACTATTAACATTTACACCCTGTGCACATGCAGTGTTGCTCTGCAATGATTATTATCTAGAATATTACCGATTTATTCAGCAAAATTGCAATGAATCTGTGAAACGTACGTTGTGGCTGAAATACAAGCATTAGCAAAATAGATACCATATTGTCACCTACTGGCTAAAAGCTAGTATTACATCATGTAACAGTCATGGACCAAGACGCCAGCTGGTTCCTTTCTTCCTTCCCATCTATCTATCTATTCATCTACCATGTGTGCTAAAATATCAAAATATACTTATTAGTAGAGCAGAATTATTTATTATAGAGAAAGTTTATTTTATTAATTACATTACATTTGTTGATTATTTCTTTATAACCCTAATCAATAATTATATATACTTTTCTATGGGTTGATTATATTTGGGATTATCGATATAAACCTGAACACTAGTACCTTGATACAGCAACAAAACGTGTGTGTCTAGACATTTGGTAGGACTCTGTAGTTATATATTCATTGATTTATATTCTAGTCCATAAACACAATTTACAATGGTTTTGTGAACAATGGCCCATAACGGCAATAAGTGGATTCAGAGGTTTTGCAAAATATTTGCTCATCTTACATATGGATGGAATGCAGCACTTAGCCATGATTCATTCATTTTACCTGCAGGCTAAAATGGTTTTCTGTTTACCCTGAACTCCAAGCCCTTGGCCCTAAATCTACAAAGTGTCTCTCCCTCTGTGACTATTTCATGGGTGGACATTTATATAATAAGTGATAAGCATCAGATAATATAATCATTTATCGTTGATTTGTACTTTTTTGTGTTTGGAAAAGAACGTTTTTGGAAATCATAGCAGATTTATTTTAACGCACAGCAGTGCATTACAGAGTGTTACAATGATCAGACTTTCCTTTTAACAACTTCGTCACCAAAGCGTGTGGAACTTGTCATTTTCTGAAACCTAAATACACTCTGTCACTCACACCATCACCAAAACTAATGATTGTGAAATTAGCTTCAGAGCAATCAGGAGCTCCCCTGCTAAGACCCACTGTATCCATGTGCATGAAATTGCTTGCTTTAATACACGCTATGAATCGTGGGTAATGCAGTGAATAATTCTGACTGCACGCAATAATGCCATCTTCTATTAGACTGGGGAATGTGAAGCCGAAGCCCTGTGGCAAAATGCTCGTAAATGGCCATGTATGGATAATTAAGCATTACTCTTGAACATTAAAACTTGCTTATTTCAGGGAGCTGCAGGCGTTGGAGAGCTCTTATTCCACTCATCACTATTTTCGGTCTCTCCCTATAATGTCTTCTCATTAGTATTAGTTTGAGAGCGATTGTTAACTTACTGTTATCTTCTACTGTATCCGGAAAATGTGTTTTCATTAGTGTATTTACAATCGGCATCCTTGCAAAACACTGTTTTTTTATTGTATACAAAACCACAGTAGTTGTTTGAAACCTCACAAAAATGAGGGATTCTGGGATATTCAATAGTCCATGAACATTAGGTAAACGCAGTGCTTTTTATTGTGTACTCTATAGTTTCTGATATTCCAAGAAAAATAAATAGAGAAGTATTAGTTTCATAAGGAAAGGGCTGTATATACTGAATTGTATCTTAGTACAATGTTGCCTTTGTGTTGCAGAGATGCGATCTACTCTTCCAACCCCTATTGCTGATGTTGTGACCTTCAGCAGAATGACAGGAGGCCGTGCTTTGGAGAAGTAGATAAAGACATTCCTCGCGATGACAGGAGAGAGACCCGTTCTCTCCCTCAGCAACCTTGTTTGTATCATATGTGTTCTTTGCTGCAACCAACCCCTGTTGTGTCCATCCACACAGCGCGTGTTAGAACAGGTCTTTCAGGAATCAGCTCTTTAAACATAAAGCTTAAGACTTTCCTCTTTGATGGCGTTTTATTTGTATGTTTTCGAACAATTGATACGCGGTAGTCAAAAGACAAACTTGTCTTTAAAATATAACCAGAAAAACATTTTGACATCTCCATCACAGCATATTTCTGTTAAAGACCCCGAGGCTACATCTCTACCGTAAACATATATTCAATATTATACATGATTTTCTTTTTTTTCTGCTTGTGCTTTTCATTCTTTTCTGTACGATATGAAACAAATTGAACTGTGCTATTATTATGTGAGAACTATAGTCTAGAACTACATAAAGCAACAATCTTATAATCCATTTGACAAAGTTCAATGTTGCTATGAAGATGATTTAATGTGCCCTAAGGACAAGAAAACCATGTAGTCCTCAGCAATCACCTATTTATTTATGATGCATCTTCACATTGCCTCTGGTCAATCCGTTCTTTGCTTGCGCTTAAGAAGCAGCTTAACAACCAACAATTTGTTTCAGAGCTGAGGAAAGAAAGATACTTGTTCTAAGTGAGACACACTCCTAATTGTGTAGAAGAAAGTCACATTTTGAATAGCTACAAAATGAAAAAAAAGCATACAATCCTCTTCAGTGTATTAGCATTCCATAAACTAACCTACTCTTTTGCAACACACGAATGAGTGTATAAGTTTCAAAAAGCAAAAGCCAGTTCCACATAAAAGTGGTGGGGCAGCAGCAGCAGGAGGGAAGGAGACATGTGCACCAAAATGACTTTGCTTGAATGCTTTGCATTAAATGCACAACATAGCTGTGATGCCTGTGCTCTTTCAAATCCATATGTAAACCATTTCCTCCCGCCTCCCCCTCCTCTCGCTCTCCTCAAACCTCCGGC